TTTCGTTCAGGGAATGACCTTAGAAAGTGAAGACCTGAGTTGTCTTGTCGAAAGTATTCAAAACGTCAGCTGCGAATAGCAACAGAAAAATGCTACCTTTTCCGAGGACATATAGCCTGATGCGCAAACGCGCTGACAGATTCGTTCAAGAGAAGAGTTCGCGAAGTGTCCTTGGTCTTTTCTCAGAGGGGTAAAACGACCAATACTGTAACGGCAGGACAGAAGGCCAGACAACGTCAGGCGTCGCTGTCGATAGGTACACGTTATTCGGTTCAACGCCTCCATTCGAAAAGTACGCGACTGAAAATCGAAACCATCATCTGAGGCTTAATGTTCAACAGCCGTACACACTGCGTAGGCTGCAGTCGATCCGTTGCTATTATAAGATGTTCCGGTCACGTGATCGCCCATAAAGTGGCATATAATAAACGCGCAGTAACATTCCATCATCGTCACCTTCGACGTATGCGATAGCGCCAGATCACAGTTACATGCGTCGCCTCACACGACAGAGCCTAACGAAGTTCGACGCATTACCAGACACGGCTGGCCCATAGACGTAACAATCGTAAATAGAGTTCGTCAGATGGCAGTTAACAGAAAAAAACTTGCAGAATGAAGCAACAAGTGACGGTAATTTGAAGACTTCGAGGACAAACAAACAGAGCAGGTTTCCGTTGAAGCAAAGCAAAAACAACCTTGAACCAATGGCCACCCGGAAGGTAATATGCAACGCATACTCCAAATCCAGAGGTACAGAGAGGACTGAAACAAGTTACATATCCAGTCAACCCAGAATGCACCCTCCATTCTAAGCTAGAAGACAGTGAAGAAGATTTTCTTCCAATTTGCAACGCTGAAGTGCGAAAGGTAAGTTATGAGAGATAAGGAGAACGAAGAGGATAATGATAACGGTGACGACAAGGACGCTTGTGAAGAATACGGAGATGAAAGCGACGATGCTGATGAACAACCCATACCGATCAGCCAATGGGGTTAGAACCTTCAATCAGATACAAAGATCGGGAGCCAGTCTGCATTAATCACCAAGAAAATCTGCGATTATGGAAATTGGTAATTGAAAAAGGAGGCTACATGCTTCCCATTTTGCGTCACAGATGTTTGAAAGCACCACAGGACTTTTACTCCAACAACCTAATCAGCTACGCTTACATGAATATGATTTTGGACGGGTTCATCAACACCTCAACAAAATGACAGAACGTACAAAATTTCCCTGGATAATCTAAGCTCGGAAAATATCATCTACTCATCTAATATATACCCAGTTATGTTTACCCTAAATTTGATAACGCTATGTACAAGCAACGTCGCGTAGCATCCACATGGGTCACCCAGTCAGCGCAGGTCCGGTCGAAATCTGCAATCTGCGTGAATCAGCTAGAAACATCATCAGCCTTTTCGATCCACTGCTAGATGAAGGATTGTTCAAGACCTTGCCATATATTTGTGCACTTCACTCTGATCCAGCGGGCTCCTTCCGCTCACCCAGTCATATAGCTGGAGGTCTTCCTACGTGCCGTTTCCTCCCTCTTCGAACACGGTCTAATGTTTCTCTGGTGCAGCGATGGTCGGTCATTCTTGCAAGGTGCCCTGCTCATTGCCACCTTAGCTTTTCGCTCGGGTGACATATAATATCGCATAATTTTCTTTGCGCTCAACTCCAGTTATTTGTCTTTCTATCACTTTTCATCATTCGCAGCATACATCTGTTGACGCTGCTTTGCGTAGCTTGCAGTGTGAGAATAACTTTCAAACTTAGGGTCAACGTTTCACATCCACAGGTAAGCACGGGGAGCACAAACTGATAAGATACTCAAAGTTTCAAGTACAAGAACATAATCAATCTTTCAAAATGTCCCCTGCCATTTTTAATCTTCTATTTATTTCATGGAGTCGGTTCTCCGTTAGAGTGGTGAGCTGTCCCAGACTGACGTAATTTTGCACTTTTTCAAGCCTAGGTCTATGTCAAACATGACATGAGCCTTCTGGTTCATTTTCAATCATAATTTGATGCTGGCGTCTTTAAGCTTTGGGATTATTTTCTAGACTTCTACTGGTGACCTTGAGCAGATCAAGATATCATTTGCAAACCGCAAATCTGTGCCATCTGATTTCAGCCCCCTAATTTTATCAACGGACTGTCACGAAAGCCTCTTCTAGGGTCACTTTCGGTGACCTTGTCGGAAGCCCTTTTCGATCATGAATTTTTTTATGCTTTTGCGACCGCCTGCTATCAGGCTTTGCATTCAGTACTCGCATAGCAAAGCCATTATCCTCGATTCGCTGCCAATAGCCCCATCTTCTTCAACGCCTTGTTTGCAACTAACCGGCAACTATAGTTGGATATTTTAATCTTCCTCGTACAATACAATTTCTTATACATAGCGATCTATCAATCAAATAAAAATCTGCATTTCCTTTGTCAGCTTAGCTTAGGGCTGCTGTCTCCGTAGAACAAGATGTGCAGAATGCAAGTCCGTTCAGCTGCAGCTTTGTGCTACTGTTAACATTATTGTTATTTCACTGCCTGAACAACTTGTCACTTAAATACCGAGGTGCCTTGACCTGTTTAAATACTACTTCTTAAACAAGGGAGCAGCGCATTTTTGCTCCACAACCATCTTACAACTACCGCACAGTCGGTTTAAACTAAGAAACATTTTTTATATACTTGACGGCCTGGTGAGAGAAAGCGTTCATTTTGTTCCTGACACAGCTACGAGTTGGCGTGTTCTGAATCGGTGGCGTAGTCTAGCGCCGTATGCATAGCAGGCACTTAAATACCACTCTGTCTTGAACTGTTCAAATAGTACCTCGGCGCG